CTGCGTTGTGTGTAGTTGTCTTTTAAATGGATAGGATGGTTTACATTGTGGGCACTTATCTCTACCTGGATAGGATAGAGATTTTTTTTTCTCCAAGTGGACTGACACTTCTCCTCAAAGAGGCGTGCAGTGTCCGACAACGTGTCCGACACGACACTCGTCCGACACTCCAACACGTGTCGGACACGCCGAAAACGTGTCCAATTAAAAAAATATTAAAATCAAATTGGACACGCGTGTCCGCGAACACGCTTATCTGAAATATTTTAAAATTTTTTAAAAATATAATTTCTTATATTTGACGAGATTTAAACTAAATTTATTATTTCCTATCCACAACACCAAATCAACGTTTGCATTTAATACCCATTCATCGAATATTCTCATTTTCATTTCTCTTTGGCAGTGAATGTATTTTCATCTCCTCTCTTTTTGCACAATTACAAATCTCTCTCTTGTTGAACCAGAGTTGAAAGCAGTGATATTCAATGATGATAATATTAAAGGCCAAAAACAAACCTCTAAAGCTAATCCTAGTAGTTGAAGCTTGAATGATTGATGTTGTAGTAAGTGATTATTTGCTTATATTTTTGTGGTTGCACTAGATATTTTGTACTAAATATTTTATATTATAAGCTAGACAAGTTATCATGTCATTCATTTATTATTGTTTGTCATTTTTAATATGATATTACATTAATATATATACACTATATAAAAAAAATGTATTGCCGTGTCCGCGCCGTACCCGTGTCCTATATTTTCTAAAAACGTCGTGCCCCGTGTCCGTAACGTGTCATGTCCGTGTCGCTGTGTCCGTGTCCGTACATCATAGTGTCTAAGATGGGGTAATTAAAACATAATTATAAAAAATGCTTGCACACAGATACTGCTTAAAACTCCCCAATGAGGCATGGCCAATATGATAGAAACATGGCTTGGCAATTTAAGTACCAGGCAATTCTGTGATGTTATTTTTTTCATATAAATGCTTCTAACTCTATTTCTGTTTTGCAAACCTGGGTCTTTTATATTTTAAAATATATTTGTTGGATGTATATGTAAACTTGTGGGATATATTTAAAGGAGAGATGGATTAAAAGGATGAACACACACAAGTCGAGTCTGTAATTATTCTGGGTTTGTATAAGGCAGGCAACTCAGCTGCCACTTTTGTAGCTTTCCCAAAATTGTAATAATTCGGACATTATACTTTACTTTCCTTTTGGTTGATTTATATAAACAAGTATGTTTTGATTGTTTACTGAGTGCGCATTAGAAATGTATGTTTTTTTCTAAATTTCTTCACTTGTTTTAAGAGGGAGTGGCCTGGACTTTGTTATGTGGTAGGCTCTTAGGATAAAACTATTTTTTCTTTCAATTAACATGTAAACAATCTAAAATCAATCATGGGAATAACTAAATTTCAAATAAAAAAAAATTTGCATGGCTCACTCTAAATGAGCTAAGTTTTCAAAAACTAAAATTATCATGTATGGTCGATGTGTCACATATAGAAAGTCCTCACTTGAGAACTAGATAACAAAAATCTACATTCAATGAGTCAGCATATGCATACCCACATGATTAGGCATATTGGCCTAAAAGCCAAGCTGTAAGTCATATCTTCTAAATCAAAAATTGTTTTCCCTATTCTTCATACAGATTGAGATCGGTCTACATAATTTTAAAAGTGATTAGGTGTGTTAGCTGGTAGTCCTTTTTAAGTAGGATTATAAATCCGGATGTCGAGCTGACTTATGCCTCATGTGAGGTGTAGGTTGGTAAGTCTCTTGCATTCTGTTAGACTTAGGTTTGAGGCACTATTCTTTAGTAGTCCTCACCTTAGCCCTAAGATCTGAAGTTGTTGTTAACTTCAGTCCCTTCATAAAACCTCACATTTTAAGTATTTTCTTCAACATGTGCTTTTAGAATATAAGCCCCAATGTTCTAAATCAAATTGGTCAACTTGAACAATTTTTTTTTTAAATGTAAACCCCAACATAAAATAGTTTTAGTACCTCTAAGTTTCCTCAAAATTAAGTGCTCCTACAATTCATTCCTTTGACTTCCATTCCTAAAAATCAACTTTAAAAGTTGATCACATTTCCCTTGAAATTCTCAAAGACCAAATCTTTGAATAAGAATTTATCAAGTTTAAGAAATGAAAAACTCTAGCTAATGCTTTAATGACTCTAAAGAAACCACTAGTTTAATCAAAAGTATTCTCATGTAACAAACGTTTGAGATGTAATTAACCATAGGAGCTTGCCCCTATAGGCATTCGTACCTCGGAATAAAATAAACCCTATTCAACTAAATATTGAATAGGTAGAAATCTCTGTTAAAATATAAAAAGTGAGGTTTCTTATTGAGTCCATAGCGAGATAATATGTTTGTTCTTTGGGATAATATATTAATTTTTATGTCGTACTCGATCAAAAATATCTCAATCCATTGAGATGATAAAATTTCTCCAACATTGATGACCTCTATAAACATACACGCTCAAAATCTATAATGCCCATGAAATTAATGAGATGTCTTCTTTGTGTATCAATCAAACCATCACATATAATAATAACTCCAATTCTTATTCTAAGCCTCTTTTATAAGTTGATTGATTCTTTCAACATCTATTCTTTCCATCTGAAGCAATGTTGTCTTCAAAAGATCATAATCAAAAGAAATGTATTTCGTAATAGCATTGTTGGTTGCATATGAAAAAGCATTAAAGTAATATCAATTCATTGCAAAAAAAACATGGAAAGGCTGCTTAATAGAACAAGCAAACAATTTCTTTGTGCAAATAATCTCTAGCATGCAAATGTTCCCTAAAACATTCCTTAATAAAAAAGATATTGAAATTATATGTTCTCTAAAACATTCCTTGATTAAAAAAAAATATTGCCTCTTACTCCAATTAATCCTACTTTGTCTAATTTGGTAACATATATTTATAAAAGTTGAATATCATTCTCTATGGGATAATTACCGATCATATTAGTGCCCATTTCATAAGTCATTACCCTATTATATAAAAAAATATTACTTGCTCAAAAAAAAGAAGAATTTCTTTGACAAAAAATGTCAACAAAAATATATCCTTAGAAAATCTTGCTATAGTAAAATCTAAATTTAGACAACAGTTTCAATGAGATATTGCAGTAAAAGAGTAAAAATTTAACAAATTAATACAAAAACGTTCATAATATTTGAAGCTAAAAGTCTATGTCAAAGCAGAACCGATGCCAAATCTCATGTGTTAAAGTCAAAGTCCTACATCGAAGCAGAAGTTGTGCATGACAGGTAAACCTAAGACCGTCAAAACCATAGCCAAACCTCACGTGTCAAAGTCTAAGTCGTGCTTTTAAGTCAAAGTCTTGAGCTTGAAGGTAAGCCTAAAGCACATCAAAATTGAAGTTGAGCCTCGCTCGTATGTCAGAATCTAATTCCTCCGTCAAAGTGAGGTGATATTGCAAATAGAGTAGCTCGACTCACTAAGCTAAGGCATGAGATAAAAATTCTCTCGATGTTTCTAACTCTCATTGAGAAAAAGGCAAATGAGATAAAATTTTGTATTTAAATTCCATTGTTTGCCAAGCTCTCGTGTTTGCGCATATTGTGGTGTGTCTGTCCCGTCTCCAAAGCAAATTTTACTCTTAAATGAAACTAACAAAGTTTTGGACATGTTGGACATGTGACGGAGCAGATTAGAGCCATGTATATGTCCAACACGAATACTGAGAGCATTTAGAGGTATTTGTGCTTCAGATATAATAGCCAACTTAAGTGTGGCAAGTTCATAGTCTTTAGAGGATGTGTGAAAAAACTAAAGATAAAGACTTACGGAATATATTAAAGACAAAGTGAAATTAATTTCTATCAAAGATAAAATCATTGTTTAAAATTGCGCAATATGATGCCCCCCTCAGCGCAATTCTAGTGAAAAACGCCTCGACGCTTACGCCTCTAGCTTTTTTATGAGGCTTGCGCTTCAAGTTGGCTGAGGCTCGCCTCGCCTCGCTAGCGTGAGGCTTACGCCTCATCCTATTTGTATAATTTTTTTTGTTAAAACTAACATAAATCACGTCTTCACTTTAGATATTGTGCAATTTTTTGTTTCATGTGTATGTCAATTTGTTAATACATAATTCAATATAAAATTAATATGTCATCATTTAATATATTATTTAGGTATTATATAAAAATCACTTTTGAGATTTATTATCACTTTACGCAATTTTTTATTTTGAGGCTTACGCCTCAAAATGCCTTAAGGCTTACGCCTCACCTCATGAATAAAAAACGCCTCAATACCCATTGCGCAATTTTAAACATTGGATAAAATAGTAGAAAAAAAAAGACTTAAAGAATTTGAATAAGTACAATAAGGAAAATAAGATGCACTAATAATACAAGTGGATAATATTACAACAATTAACAAGTACACCAAAAATTAATTGCACAATTAGAATTAACACTCAATGTAGTACAATATAGGAATGAATGAAAGAAGATAAATAAATCCAAACACCAAATTGTTTGTGCAAGGTTAATGATGATTAACTTTTTAGATTTCTTTGCAGCTATTATTTTTCTTTAATATTTTGCCATGCCATCTCATCACCATTAGCCATCTAACATTAAAATTTACCCCCAGACCCTTCTGAAATCTCTTTGGAAATCTCTTTAGTGAATTAATTATCCTATCTGATGTTAAATTTAGTTCAACTTTTAAGCATTCATTTTCCTCCTCCAAAACTTAGCACTGGGCGCTCATAACTCTCTATGTGTGGCATATTATATTGTCGTTTGCAAAAGAGAATCAATGTTGTACAAATAGCATTAATAACCATATATATTGTTGTCTCTAACTCCAATATTGGCCCAAACTATTCTATCAGAAGTGTAAGTTTATAGAAAATTCATAAACTTAAGAGACTCCATCAAACTATTTCAGGTTAATGAAAACACTAAAAGTAGATAAGGAAAAAAACCTGCAAAGGGATCGCAAGTAGTAGAGCTCGCAACTTCAATAGAATTATGTTTCCATCCTGCACAAGCTCCTCAACCTGAGAAATAGCATTCTGAACGGCCAAGAGCTGTTCCATTGCATTCATTGGCGGAGGAGCCTGCACCTTGACCTCATCAATAGGCCTGCCTTGATTGTAAAATCTGGTAACCAGCATGAAAACTGCCATAAAAAGCAGCAGTCCCACAACGACATAACCTATCCATCCCCTACAAAAGCTCTGTGTATTAGAGAATATAATTACATGAAAACTTAAAAAATCAGGTCCAAGATATGAAGATTGCATTAAGCAAGGATAGTCTGTATCATCCTGAACAACATGGTTGAAAGAACTCAATCAACTCATCAATCAACAAAGGATCGTAAGGGGTGAAGGAACACAGGCATGCAAATAGAGAAATTCAAAAGAACAAAACAGAAAATAGGATGACAAGAACAGAACACTTGCAATGATGGCTCACTAAAAGTTATACACACAATATTTCCATCATTCATGATAAGAAAACGTACAAAGGGGTGTTATATTCCATAAATACACATACATCCCCCCACCAAGCCAAAAAAAAAAACAATAAAGATATGGGTAATACATAACTTCTAGTAATGCCAGATTACTAACATTGCCCTCTCTCTCGGCACAAGTCTTAAACCATATAAACGGAAATTTAGGGAGATTGGCAAGCAAAAATTTTAAACACGTATAAATTATGTGAAAGCTAAGGATATTGCTCAAAACATCAGAAGATAAATAACAGAATACAACCAATGTTGACCTTCATGTCATACCCAATAGAATCAAAATTGAGAAGAAATGAAAGAAAAAATCATGCGCATAAGCCTCTTACCCGTCGAACCCACGATATCCTGTCGAAATTGCGCTGATTCGGCGCCGCTTGAGTCGTATCCCACGAATCCTGCTCAAACTCCGCTCGAGGAGGTTCATTCGCGTCGTTAAATAGCCACCCGAGCCACCCGAGCGAAGCTTTCGGTTGCTCTTCGACTCTCGACTCTCTCCTCAATCCCGCTCTCACTCTCTCCCGTCCCCCTTCACTGCTCCGACCAAATCCCGACCACCCTCTCCTCTGTTCGATTCCACACAACAAACCCGACATCAACTCCGGCCGAATCTCCCTATCTTCCGACCTTACCTCTTCAGCCAACCCATTGTCGTTTCCGTCCGACCTCTCTCCGTCGCTGCTTTGTTCGCAAAACCGTAGAGAGAGAGAGAGAGAGATAGAGAGAGAGAGAGAGAGAGAGAGAGCAAGAGAGGCTTTACCTTACCTTACCGAACCAGCTCCGACGCACGACTCCTCCATACTCCCGATCCCCTCTGCCTTGGATCTCCCCTAGCCGGTGCCCCTTCTCCATCGGGTCGGAAGTTCCGACATTTTGATCTCAAGCAACAACAGGAGCGGCTTGCTGTGAAGGTAACTTTCTCCCTTCAGCTCGCTTCTTCAGCCAAGTCCCGTAAAACCGAGAACAAAGAGCAGTAGGGAGAGAAGGGATTTGATTTTCTTTTTAATATTATAATTAATTATAATTATTAGTATTTATAATTAATTATAATTGATTATTAATTAAGTATAATTAATTAATACAATATAATATAATGATTATTTACTTTAGATATAATTAATCTTTATAATTATAATTAATTATTAATTAGTTATAACTAATTGAATAATTAATTAATAATAACTACTGATTATAATATTTAATTAATATAATTAATCATTATTAATTATAATTAATTATTTATTGTTATAGTTTATAATATAATTGATTATTATTGATTAATAATTATTATTGAATTTATAATTAAATTATAATTGAAAAGAAAATGTTTCTTCCACTCGTCCTTCCTCGGTGTTCGTGTCGACGGCAACACCTAAGCAGCGCCTTTGTGAGCGTGGTAGGAGGGAATGGTGCGACACCTACGCAAAGGTGGCGAGGACCCTCGATTCCCGTTGTCAACCACGACAACCCACGAAGGTATAAATTTTCTAACTCAAACTTTGTTCAATGTTGTAGCGACCGGAAAACTCGCCCCAAGCACGCCTTGGGCGCGTGATGGGATGGACCCCGGTGCGGCACATACGCGAAGCGGGGTCCTCAATAGTACACTCCGAGCGAGGGGAAATGTCAAAAATTTGCCTTTTTTAAAAAAATGCATTTTTGAAAACCCCAAGGCACACCATTGTGTGTGTGGTGGGAGGAAGAAAATAAATACAACCGCCGCGATACTCACACAAACACCAACCATGACGCCTTTGGTGCGTGCGGGCTAGGCGGCCTCTTGGTTTTTTGCCCTTAACGAGGGAGACGCCGGAGGCTGCCGAATTTGATTGAAATCCAAGAACTTGGAGCCAATTTTGGAACATGGACTTGATTAACACGAAGGACTGATCCTACTGTTGAACAAGATCTAAATACTTATAAGCAATGAAACCCAAATAAAAAAAAATGTGCAAAAGGCAATAATTTGAACCTAAATAAACTTGAATCCAAACTTTGACTTGACTATGACTGCAAGTGAAATAAAGACTTGGACAAATTAATCAAGGACTTAACTCGACCTATATGACTTGAACTGGCGAGGTAACTGTTGACATTGAACTCAAACATGTGACATAAACTCAATTGACAAGAACTTGACTTACAAATTGACTACAAGGAACTTGATTTGGACTCATGCGCGTTGCACAATTTGAAAACCCAATGAAATAAATGAGTATTAACTCAAGCTTTGATTGGAAACAAAAACATTGTTTTAAAATGTCAATGATTGTAATTTGCTCAGTAAACAATAAAGGCTTTATGTGGAATCATCCATCATGTTGCCAATAGACATGTGAGTTGTAAAATCAAAGAGGGAAAGTGATCCAAGCAAGCACTCACACCACGAATTCATACAAATTTCGACATGAAATCTCTCTTAGACAACAATAATACATTTTGTATTGAATCTCAGTGCAGATTAAAATATCAATTATCATAGATAGAAAACCACCTTCAAAATATAAGATTTACAAGCCAAAACATGAGTGCATGAACATTGAAAGGAAAAGCTACAATGAGCATGTTAGGTTTGCTGAAAATGTATGTATGAAGAATTGTAATGGTCGTATCATCGTCCGACAGTCAACAACAAATTTAGATACAACGACATCGTTCTTATAGATTATTGAGATGCAACGAGTTCAATGGGTCATAGCTAGTCCAATGGGAATTGGTAACTGCAACAAAATTGACCAGGATTACATGACAATAGACATATCTAATCTCCATCAAGAAGGATCATCAGATATGTAACGGAACACACAAACTTCTACAAACAGAGATCAAATTGAAGGATACCACATGCTTACAATCAATCAATAGCATAGGTTTTAAGCGATTTGGGAGATTCAAGCTATCAAGAAATGCAAGAAGATGTGAATGCTGCTACACTACAAAGATACAAACTCAGCCAAAAGTGGACATGTAGTATGACCATTTGCAGTCACTATGTAAGCAGATATAGAAATCTATTGACAACAGATGCATTGAACTCAAAAAGTAAAGAAAATAAGAGGGAGACGTGGAATTCCGGCAAATGCAAGTTCCTACAAAGAGATCGGTAATAACATTAAGTAGACATCATACGACAAATACATCATAGGCTTTAGACCAAAAGTACGAACACTACAGGGTTATAGGCAGGAAGATCTAGTTAGTCATTAATGATCCGCTACAAAATCAACAATAGTGCACGATAGTCTACATCTACAAAAGCAGCAAACAAATGATCCAAAAGCATGCTACTATCTGCAGCCACCCCGACACGGATCTGCATCTCCGTAACATGCAGACAAAAGGCGTCTACAATATATCAAATACTCCTAACACGGCACAATGTAATATGTAACACAAAGGGTACTAAAGGGGAAAATACAATTCAACCAGCAGGGCCCTGGCGAGCGTTTATTGGTACACACGTAACGTTAGGATGCTGCGCGGGCGTGACAAGTGAATTCAGGTTGATAACTGATCCTCTAATACGAGGTCAATAGAAAGCGACAGGGTTCGAACACAAACAAAATAGGTTTGGCGATCGTTATATTCTGTCTTAATACATCCAATTAGGCTTCAGGCCTATATACAATGAGAATTCACTATCACAAAGGCATAAAACCTACGAAAACCCGATCCTTGTCGACAGCCCGATAGGTTGACAAGGTTCAATCCATAAAGAGACCCCGAACACCCCGATGATGGCGTGGTTGAATTGCAAGTTCTCGAACCGAGTGTCTCAAAATTTTAAATTTTATCTCCTAAATATCCAAATACATTTCAATATCCATAGCTCCACCAAAATACCATAAAACTTCAAAAACCAAAAGCTCCACCCAAAAATCCAGAAAATTAAAAAAACATCATTCCAAAAATCAAAAATATTAAAACTTAACTTTCCCATCTCTACACGCTGAAGAAAAATCCTCCACCTCATGCAACAGTTTGCTGGGGGACAAATAGAAAATTTTTACCCTCAGTACCAAAAAGCTAAAATGCCGAGATCGAAAATGATACCTAGGATCCATTCTCAAATCAACTCTCTTGGCCGAAGGACGTGGTAACGTGCCTCCTAACGGGCAGTTTTGCCCAATAGTCATGCAGTAAACGCCGGGGCCTCTGAACTGAGGGTTTTGCCGCCAAATGGCCCACAGATTACGGTTTATGGCAGAGCCAAACACTCCTTAATAGCGTTAATCCTTGAGATATGAATCATAAGATAGTGCAGTGATGGATGACGAGAAGAGCCCTCTGTTAGCTAAGGTGGATTTAAATTGTCCCTTAACAAATACCCACCACAGGTCTACAGGTACCTTAGACAGCAACCCTTGCTTTGCCGACAATGATCCTCTTGTCAGGTTGTGGCTCGACTACCTCCTCTGACTAGATAACCGAAGACATAGATCGGCCAAGATCGACGGAACCAATGGGATTCTCTTGATCGGGCTCATATATATTCCCCCCACCATCGCTTTATGTCTCAGATGGTGAAAAATTCCATGTTTTAAATTCAATTTTTCAATCTCTCACCCAATATTCCAAACATATGAACTTCAAATTTCTCAAATTTCAAAATTTCATATGCCATTGGCTGCTACTTATAGCCAAATAACACGTATTCTCTACTGTATTTGATTGACGACTACTTAATCGAAAG